GGTGTTAAGGTTTGTTCTAATTTATTTCTTAAAGCATAACAAAGCGCCAGCCAAGCTGCTGCCAACACAATTGCCGTCACAAGGGTAGCCCTGGAAGAGTGATTGAGGAGATCTAAACATCCTTGATTGATTCATACTCAATTAGCTCTAAGAAAACTGGTTAAGAATCTCTTGAGAGCTCCCAGATAGGAATATTCGCTTCCTACTCACAGTGTCTGAATTCGTCAAAAATAATTAGGTGAGCTGCAGATGATGAGGGAGATCATTGGTGTTGTAGTTAGAATTTGTATAAGTCTTGAAATAAAAATGGAACTTAATTGTTTTCCAGCAAATTCGGCAAGCAAGATTGAATAGATATCCGAACTGATGACAGAATTTTATCCTTAAGAAAGTGATTGTTGTAGGTGCAGGTTCTCGAACATAGATATTTTTCAAAGACTCAATGTTCTCTCTATAGTATCAGAAACGAGGCACTACGAAGACATCTATCAGGGGAGAGTCAGAGTTCCGGGATGAGATTTAGACCGAAGAAGCGTGGAACCATGGGAACAAATCGTGGAAACATGTCAGCTTGGTGCCCAGAGATTTTATGTCATAAGTCAAACACTACTCACTTCATGATGAATGCAAATTGACTATTGCACTAACAAATGGATGTCAAATGTATTGGTGATGGTGACAGTGTTTCTTGCTCGAATTGTTCTTTTCAAAGCATCTACATCTGAGAAAGGAAATCGAAGACAAATATAGGGATTCACTCACCGTGCCTTTCAATGGCGAAGGATTACACCCGGCACCCAGAGACAAATGTTGGAATCAGCTCCGCCTAAAACACTTCCAGGCATATTTGCCTACAAAGATATGTCACCATTCAGTGTAAATTTACGGATTGTATGTTATATAACGGGGCGCCTGTAGCGCAGTGGTCGGAGACGCCTTCATACACATGGGACCGATTGTTGCGCCCCAGGCCCACCAAACCCTCCATTCCTCCGGAGTCAACAAATTGGTACAAGACATGTTTGGGATGACAGCAGCACTGACTCAATACACCGGTTGGCCATGCCATCGCAAGTCATTGGAGAGGTCAGATATGCATGCAGTCACCTTCAGCGATGTTTGACGATGTCGAGTGCAAGGCTGATCCCTGATGAATTGATCAACGCTGAGAGCTTCACCTTTTGTTATAAAGTGTGATGAATGACTGAGATCCTGACAGATAAATGGCATAAAAAAGAGGTGAATGGTATGGTCAAATCATTACAACAGCCGTAAGAAGCGGCAATATTCAAATAACATAAATTATTAAATCGTTCGAGTGTGACACTTGGCCAGTTTTCATGCCCCGAGCAAGGTTTGAAGGAAACTCTGTTCGCCATTTACGGAAAACTCGTACAAGAGCGTTGCAGTAGTTGGAGCGAAATTCGATAACGTTGCATTTGATTCGAGTAGCGAAGTAAAGAGTTTGACAAATTGATAGAATCTATAAAACACGGGTGAGAGAAAGGCAAAACGAAGAACCTGCATGGTATGGTGGGAAACGCGTTGGACACTGGGAATGGCAGCAGGTGTTCTATCCCCACCACAGACACTTGCGGTCCGGAGTTTTGCAAATATTTCAGCATCCTTGTGGTTATATTTCTCATCATACCGTGCCATGAAAGAAGAATGAGCAGTAAATAAAAAGTGATTACATTGTGATTTATACTACAGCTTCAGCTCGAAGGAAGATATTATCTACACATAACATTGGGTTCAATGCTGATTTGTTCTCCACAGATCAATCCCGTTGACGGTTGATTGCTGATAGCACCTCTAAAACACGGCCGAAGAAAAGGCTGAACAAAGGACCAGCACGATGGTGTGGTGAACTCTTTAGCCCTCGAAAAGCGTAACAACGTGCTCGATCCCCACCGCATACACTTGCAGTCCGGAGTTCCGCAAATATCTCAGTTTCGTTGAGGCAGAAGGTATTTTATTCTATAGCTCTAATCGTGAAAGTAGTTTTCGAAAATGTTATTTTAACTTTATGCTTACCCCAATTCCAAATTCTTAGAAAATTCGTGGGAGTTTGTCGAAGTAAAACAATTTTTGAATTCTAACGCAAATGCTGTTAGCCCCATATTGGCACATCTTCCCACGCAGAGTTTTTCTTCAACTGTTTTCTTTATTTTTCATCTCTTGCTTGTTCACCTTGGGTCTAGTGACGGACGTGTTCCGAAGGAAGATATTATCTACACATAACAATCAGTTTGGCTTGTTGCATCGCCTTCAAGCCATCCGCCAATTTTTATTCCTACTTCCATATTTACACAGATCTCATAAGTTCCCACATGGCGGATAGCAGGTTAATCGTAGATCAAAAGCGATTTCCTTCTCTGAAAGGCACGTGGAGCCAGGTGATCAACTCCTTGTTTCCACTGCGTAGATTGAACACATACCTTATGTGTTTGCGAGGGCAAAAAGGGTCGGATGACACGTTGGTAATGATGCCAATCATGACGAGCCCGGTGTTGGTTCGATCTCACACTGGGCTCTCCAAGCCTCTCATCCCTCCAGTGTGAGGAAATTGGGACCGGATTTGTTTGGAAAACGTTCATTCTCTGCAATTCAAGTGGGAACGCTCTAGCCGGACTATTTTAGGAACTTAGGACTTCAGGGAAAATTGACTCAAACAGCATTTAACGACATGCGTGTTGAAAGGGAAACCCTCAAGCAGCAGTCAAAGCCACACGTAAAACTAAGACGACTTTCCTGGATAACGGATGCGAGGAAACGAATCGAATGTGAGAAGTGCTGGGATCCGCACAGTTGATATGAAAGACAAAGGCACCACATTCAACATCGTCTACGACACCGGAGATGAACTGTTCCTCGGAACATGCGACAGTAGAGGAGTCGGCGGTGTCGGCATCCTCGTCACACAAGTTTAGCCATGAACTTCGACTCATTCGACAACTAACAACCTTAATCGGATGATTGGGATCAAAGAAATGTGAATTAATAGCGGCGTTGACAATCTTCATCGTTTACACACCGATATCAAGCCATAAAGAACGCGAAGTCGAAGCTCTCTATATGGAGTTGGAGAATTTTCGTAGAGAAGACCATACTTTCTTTGAGTCATCATTGGAGATTTAGAACCTAAGACTGGACTCAGATGAATGCTTGAGGAACGCTACATTGGGGCCCAAGGATTAGAGTAGAACGAACAATGTGAGCGGCTGTCCGAGTTTTTCATGACGACGAACACCATCCATTATTTTAACACAGAGTTCTACTCGGTAGATGAGAGCACTGATTTGGTTGTAAAAGATAATGTGGTCAGTTTTCTGAATAAGATTTGTGAGCATTCTTTTTACTAAGTTCAGTTCTTCACGTATGCTAAATCTGAACTGGTATCACCTAGTGGTCGAGATGGCTACACAGTTAGCTTCTTAAAAAATTGTTCATTTTGCAGATGTTCTCAAGAGCGCGAAGAAATCGGCGATAAGTTGTGCGTGGTACAATATTTGGACCTGCTTTTTTTTGGTTGTTGCTATTGCTCTGCTTTAGACTGGCCTTCTCTCAATCGTTAGAATCATTGAATTTACCAAGAAGATATTCCTCTCAAACGTATGCTATCTCATCATGGCCGGAAAGTGTTGCTGGGTGTCGGGCTGCGAAGTTTAGTGGAGCGTTAATCACCTCGGCAGGATCTTCTAACCCGAATAGAATTCCGACGTTCCTATCAGGAAGCCTAGCTAAGAGTTAGCAAACACCAGAAATTACCGCCGTAATCCTATTAAGCTAGTCGATTGTTGGCAAATCTCCCTCTGAGGCACAAAGGCAGCGGCTCCCTTTAGTAGTGACGACCTCAGCTAGGCTGACATTGGAACTCCAATGAACCCCAGTGGCTAAACTAGGAAAAATTTTCCCTCCGTACCCCGCCAACTTGGTGATGCCGATTACGACGTCAGTTAATGAGAAGAGAGGTGAAAGGCTATCAAATCTGGAGTTGTAGAGGAAGTCATTAGAAACGGAAAAAATGAGCACGCGTACGACACACCATGGAAGCTGCTTCTTGGTGTGCATTTATAACGCCAAAACAACATCTTCAGACGCCAACCTGTACGCTCTTCTTGAGATCTGTGATCGGATAAAATTGTATTTGAACGCCCTACAAGAAAAGGGAACCAGGAAGACCGACATGCGCCAATTATCTGATAAGATCCTTGTCATTCGTCAAGCAAACTTTCCTTCACGAAATATCACAGACATTAGCTTCTTCGTACAGTCATATATTTCCCATCTAACCACCTCATACGAAATTCTATCACATTCAACATATCACTTGGCCATTCTTCGTTTCCAGCTAAAGCCTCAAAAGAAAGTCGGTATCATCAACTCTTACTCACCAACTTGAACTGCTGATAAGAGCGAGTTGTTGTTGGAGAGTCTAAAGCCAAATCAAGAAGGTCACCGAAGATAAATACAGGATAAGGGAGTCTAGAATGTGTGAAGGAAATGAGAATGGAAACTGTCTTGTAGGATTCCCGTTCTAAGCACAGCTGTTCTATGGGAAATCATTTTTCTAGAATAGAGATTGTCACCGGTAGACAGAGTATTCTCGCAACGGCGTGACTCATAAGAAAATTGACCATATACTCACGAATAGAAAGCGGTTCCTCTTTGACACCTGAGTAGTCTTCGGATTCTGTGCTTGATCTGATCACAGATTTCTCCTTGTAATGATTCGCTTCAATCTGCTGGAAAAGAACTCCTGTCATCGTTCAAGAAAAACGTTGCCTGCGCGCACCCCACAGAACGCTTGAACGATATTTTCTGAAATTTAACGGGCGCTCACAACGTTTAGCCGGTAGAACAGATCCTCGAAACCTATCCCATCTTCGGCATCCAGGAGAATACACATAAATAGCGGAACTCTGATCGGCTGGTCATATAATAGGAATAACAAGTGATAGATAAACAAAAGGAACAGTGGAGTGGACTGCAGCAGAATGCATGCGTCCTCTGGAAAACCAGCGAAACGATGGACGGACGTGTTCGAGACCAACGACAATCATCTGCTTTCGCATTTGGTGGGCTACGTAATGGGCCACGTGGATGACATTATGTTTGAAGCAGACTACTACCATGGACAACGTTCACCGGAGAAAGAAACTAATAGAAATTTTGCAGGGGTCAGCAAAGCCAGTGAAGACGGGCCATTCAAGTATACAGGTAAGTAAGTAAAAAGAAAGTTAGAATATTTTAATGGAAAGAGTAAATGCTTCTTCGACGGCTATGAGGCAGTGAAAGCTGTTGGAGAATTACCACTTTCCTATGCTTTTATAATATTTTAGAGTAGCATTATTTCGGCAACAATTAGTAAATTTTTGCGGAAATGGAGTTGGGAAGAATAACGGGATTAGATGGTGACTGATGTCTCAGTGCAATCGGGAAAAAGGACACAGTTTAAATGAGGTTCAGTAATCCTCCTAATTTATTTGTTCGGTGAAGGGTTGGAGTATAAAATGGGGTGTAACTCTTTTCTTTGTAAATAACTATTTGCCTAAAGCGCGTTAATCTCTACCCATGAGACTTCTCTCAGCCCCGAAATTGTCGTTGCTAATCGGACCATAACATTAGGTTGTTCAAAAATAAATGGGCTTCTCAAAATATTTATTCTCTTAATGTATTTTTTACCAATAAAATAATTTTTATACCTTGTAGTACATATATCATCAGGAAGCCGATTTTGTGTTCTTTCCAAGTTCTTATATTTTGTAAATCTAAATTTTTCTTACCAATTTTGAGCTTTGCAATTTCAGATATCAAAAACGAATTTTCGTCAGATTTTCTTTTATGAGTTCAAACTCGGTCGTAGTGCAGCAGAGATGGCTCGAAACATTAATGACGCTTGGGATGAAGGTAGTGTTGGTGAATCAACAGTGCATGGTTCCATGGTTCCGGAAATTCCGATCTGGTGATTTCCACTTCGAAGATAAGGAAGATATTTGCAAAACTCCGGACCGTAGGTGTCTGCGAGGGGAACGAGCGCGCTACTGTCCTTTCCGGAGACTAACGCGTTCACCACCACACCATGCGTGTCCTTCGTTTCGCCTATCTTTCGGCTAGTTCTACCCACCCGCCAGCGGGGTTAGCGGGGTGATTGCTGATTCTAAAACTGTCTGAAAGCATAAGAAGCAGTTGTATTGGACAAACATGCATTCGTTCACCTTTATGGCGCAACAAATGGGGACGACTGCATGGTGCATCCCTAAAGAGTTGTTCAGTGCCAATTGATCTACCGTTTCTTCTTTGTTTTAAAGTTTATGCGGTTTTCATTTAACTTGAGCTAAATTGTCTTCATTGCAGCGTAAGTATTCCGCATATAAAAGTCTCTGAAAGCTCTTAAACTAAGTGAAGTGACATCTATATAATTCCCGCTCACGCCGTCAGTAATGCCACATGAGTACTGCTCGTCTTGTCTATAGAACTGATTTTTCCCATTTGTTCACACTTCCCACTTAGCTTATCTTCCGTCATTGCCTGTAGGTTTTCTTCAAATTTGACATTGTCCTTTCTACTTTTGTTCAATTCTTCTGTTCTTCTCTTCTTAATTTGACATTTAGTTTACGGTTTTGTTTTCTGCCTTCTATAATTTTCATGGCAGGTTACTACGCGAAATACAACCACAACGTTGCTGAGATATTTGCAAAACTCTGGACCGCAAGTGTCTATGGTGGGCAACGAACGCGCTATTGTCCTTTCCGGGTAGTAACGCGTTCACCACCACACCATGCGGGTCCTTCGTTTCGCCTGTCTCTCAGCTATTTCTATATAAAAAAATATCGATAGAACTGGCTGAGAGACAGGCGAAGCGAAGGACCCGCATGGTGTGGTGGTGAACGCGTTACTCCCCGGAAAGGACAATAGCGCGTTCGTTCCCCACCACAGACACCTGCGGTCCAGAGTTTTGCAAATATCTCAGCAACGTTGTGGTTGACATTTAGTCCTCATCGTTCATCTTGGCCTGATTTTTTTTTCATTTTCTTCGTTTTCGGGTGGTGCTTTACTCATGGAGGTTCGGCTCAATACGCGTACGAAGACCTACAACACGAAGGCGAATGACTGTGGGCCATAGACTCGGACCATCAGCATAGAGGAAAACGAAGACTTCGAAACGTTAGTGGAATAAAAGCTGTAGCTTGTGTAAGCTGAAAAACCCAAAGAAATTTATTGATTACTCACGCCTAGGTTAAGTAAAAGTCAATTTAGTAAAGTAAATCTGACGAGAGATTTTTCGCTGTCCAGTAATTTCCAATAGTAAGACCGGCTTTGTTTTTTGTGCTCTATCCAAATGATTGGATGGAAGATGAGGTGGCGATATTGACTACTTTCACTCACTCCTTCACTCTATCCTTCTCAAACACGCACACATCATCATCGCTCTCGTCGCCGAAAGGCAACATCATGAAAACGTGGCGCGACACTTCATTGCTACAAATTTTTCCTAGAAAACCAATTTACCGAAGCTTATTTACATTTAAATTTTTGATCTCTCCTAGTTTTCATGCAGACTTCGACATCATTGGGCTGCTAAGCGATCGATATACATCCTTTTCACTCGTCGGAACACATTCTATTGAGTTCATTTTGTTCTATCGACTGTGTGCATCACTTATGTGCCAAACGGAGCAAAAGCTCTGGAATGAATTGAATTAATTTGGACGCATATGTTTTTGGGCTACTAAATTAACTAAATCGGATGTCGCATCATCACGTTAAGAATATCACTGCTCTAAAGCGACGACGTTGATAACAGCACTGCTTGACTTAACGGACCAATTTGTGAAGAAAAAAGTGTTCTTTTGTTAGGATGTTCTCCAGAAACATTAACAGACCAAATTTTTATTAGCTATATTGTAAGTATTGTTCCAATTGTAGTATATGTTCAGGAATGGAAAAAAAAAGTAAGGCACAGCATAGTGGTAGTGATGTCCGTGATCACTAGCATGGTTCTAGTTGGGTTCCGCTGAGGACCAACCAAGCCTATCATCCCTCCTCTGTCGGGAAATTGGCGCCGGACTTGTATGGGAAAAAAAATCACTCTCTGCAATCTAATTGGGAACGCTCCAGCCCGGCCATCTCGAGACTCCAGGTAAAATTGCTCGACCAGCACTTTACGACATTCAAGATGAAAAGAAAACCCTCAAGCAACAGCCGAAGCCACATGTAAAAGTTGGAAGATAATCGTGGACAATGGATGCGAGGGAACGACGAATCGAATGTGAGAAGAGCTGGGATCTGCAAAGTTGACGTGAAGACGGGTCATATAAAGTATAAAATAAAATTTTTAAAAAATGTAAGTATTCAGTCTGATGGAGCGAATAACACAGTGGTTAGAAGTGCCCTGCTGTACTCACGTGATCAAATGGTTCGATTCAGGGCTTCAGGTTAACCAAGTAACTCATTCCTCCGAGGCCAGCAAATTGTTATCAGGCTTTTCATGAAAGATAAAACGGCCGAGAAGTTACATCTGCAGACCACTGGGAATCTTTGTATTGGTCAAATATGCATTCAATCACCCTACACGGCTATGAATGGGGTCGAATGAACAGCATATCCATCACGGATTTATCAGGACGAAACGCTGTTGCCTTTTATCCTCCATAGCGATGTGGTTTTGTGAAAATAATTGCTTCTTTGATATGGTTGATGTGGAATTATTCATCAAAATATGACATAAAGTGACTTTCAGCACAAGAAGAATCGGTACAAGATTCCCATGATATAAATAGAACAACGTATTCCTAGGAGTAAATTTCTAACGAGGACCAGTCCCGCACGTAACATCACGGCTCTGAGGAAGGCGAAGTCGCCGAAACGTCAGCCATCGATCAATAACATCAAAAACAACGACAACGAAGATCTGTACCAACCTCGCGTCAGCTTAAGAAGATCAGTTTATAAGATCACATAAATAAATATTCTTACGAAGTCATCCCGATCGACACTCTGTTGTTATGCAACAAAAAATATGCTTTAGAAAAACCTCACTATGGCTTCTAGTCGGACTTTTAATTTTCAGCTCTCGTTTCGACTTTCCTCCCAACGGTTTACCGCCTCATCGTGGCTGGGAGGTGTTCCTGGGTGTCGGACTGCGATGTACAGCGGTGGGATTCGTCCTCCGGCAGGGTCTCCCAAGCTGAAAAGGAGTCCAGCGTTTCCATCTGGAAACCTAGCTAAGAATAAACCAATACCAGGATCCACCACCGTCTTGGTATCAAAGTCGCATGGTCGTAAATCTTTCTCTGATCCAGAAGTGCTGCGACTGCCTGCCGTGGTGACGACCTGGGGGCAGTCTTTGGCCAGGCTGACCTCGGGATTCCAGGGAACCACAATGGCTTAACGAGGAAATCTCCAAAAAATTGTGATTATGCTGGGGCTGGCAGAACTAGTGATGATGGACCGTGCAAGTATCAAGGAATACATCGTAGAGAAGTTTCCTGAAACAAAGATGGTCGTATCGGCATGATTTCGACTCGCTTCAAAATTAATTAGTGCACATGGTGGTATTACTCATTCCGTTCAGAGAAACGATTTCTCTTTTTCAAATTTATTCCACCCTGTACTTCTGTGGATACAAATATAAAGAACAAAAGGATAAAGCTTTCAATATTGATCAATCCTTCAGCGGTGCACAATGCATTGGACCCCATTCGTAATATCGCAATGGTGATTGATTCAAAATCTGACTTATGCAAAAACCTACGCGAATCTCTCAATGTATCGAATCAACTTTTATTATGTATTTTTTTTTACTATCTTGGATTATTAAGCTAATAAGAGGTTGTTAAAAAGTTTTATTCTGCTACGGTTTTGATGTCTTCATCTTCCTCAGAGCTGATTCACAGTCATTCGTCTCCTCGATGTGGTGTCTTCGTCGTCGTATCGAAGATGTTTTAGGAAAATATATAGCCGTATAAATGTTCTCTTCAGTTTCCCAGAAATTTGATACCAATTCCTTGATTTCAAATGGATGGATGGATGGATGGATCGATTTATCTAGAGCGCGGGATTGAACCAATGACCATATGTCCACTCTGCAAAAGCTCTTAACGTTGTGCTATACATGCCCTAAAAAAACACATATGTGAATTAATCACACGAAAAACTCAAGTTATTCTTCAATATTCTTTAAAAGTTTTCCAGATGAAGAGAAAAATAAGAAAAAAAAACGAAAAGGAGCAAAATTGCAGCGTTTTCTCTTTTCAATTTCGTTATCTACGAAAGAGGCGCAAGCAGCGGAAAAGCCATCGTTTTCGTCTCACGGCAACCCATCCCAAGCATATATTGTTCTTAAATAAATCACTTTCAATTCGTTGGGCCATAAGGAACGCAATCTTATGCAATTGAAAGAGGTCGAGTACCTCAAAAAACCTGAATGATTTCGACGACGATTATTAATGTTTTCAGATTATGGACATCGGCAAAAAAAAAGACGAACAGCGAACACGCAAAATCTAGCTCTGATAAATGTCGGTCTTGTGCTAGACGGCAATCCAGAAACCCCTTGCCACCGTGTAATCTTTCAAAAAGAAGTCATTTTTCAGAAAATATATCGTCTGCCATTTGAAGTGGAATAAACCCGAAAAATTCTTATTTACTTTACACCGGCTTTCATTCGTTTCATCGAGCGCTTTCAAACTTCACTTCCTTCATTCTTTTCTACTACTCAAATTTTACACGATAACCGTTCCCTGTTTTAAAATTTGACCAAGTGCACGTAGCACAGTGGTTGCAGGTGCCATGCAATAAGCGCGCAGTTCTTGGTTCAATTCTGCAACTTGTGCACGCTGAGTTCTCCATCTCACCGTAGAGGGCAGATTGGTGCCAGTCTTGTCTGGGAGGATGGAAACACTGGCTTGATTCGTCGTCTGTCTCCTCATATACGATAGACATAAAATTGTAAGATTTCTCTTTACATCGGCTTTCATTCGTCTAGAGCTACATGTGTTTACACTCATTTGTTCTCGATGCTACAGTAGAAATGCCGTATCTGTTGCCGTTTTTATTTCATAGCATAAAGTACACAAAGTGCGCGTGTGGCGCAGTGGTCACAGGCGTTCCGTAACACACATGGGATCGGTCCCAGCGCCCGTGGCTCACCAAGCCTTTCATCCTTCTGGGGTCGGCAATTTAATACCAGATTTATCTGTTAGGATAACAGTTCTGGGTTGATACACCAATAGGCCATCGCGAGTCATTGTAAGGGCCAGAAATGCATCCAATCACCTCCAAACAATGCTTAATGAAGTCAAATGCATGGCGCATACCTCAGGGATTGATCAACGCGAAGTGCTTTATCCTTTTTAAAGTACATAGAGTTTTTTCATGGTTTGTATCAATTAAGCTTTTCAATTAAATAAGAACTTACTTTTTACTGCTTATAAAACAACATACTCCTTATGCGCTGTACGTTACTAAACTATTATCAAGGTGACGTAAATTTGTTGTTGTTGTTGTGGTTTTCATAGGTTCAACCTCACTGTCAATATTGAGTTTATCCATAGAAATATTTGACGAATGGTAATGTATGATATAACCCCAGGATCTCTAAATGTAAGGCAATGAAGCGCTGTTTTCGTTGGCTTCGTCTCTGGTGCAATCTTCAACCCACGTCAACTTTATTTCAGAGTTCTCTGTCAATTGGTATTTGACTTGTTTACGATGAATTATTATCAAAGCGAAAAACTATGAAGCCTATGTAAAGAAGTATAACTATTCCGTGGAGTTTAGTTCAGTGATGATTTGCTTTGCAACTAAACAAGATTAACATTTTAGCAAAATAACTTTGCCATTTCGTATTTCGATAGCTAACGAGCGAAATCCGGGACCAACCATGGCCACTCGGGCTAGAATTTTTATCTTTTACGGTCAAAACACCCACCTAACTTAAGTGAATTAAGTCAAAGTTATACGTGCGGTGCAGTGATTGGAGATGTTACACAATACACAATGGCTCATTGGCTGGACCTCGCTTCCTTGGTATCGTTTTTTTTTTGTGTAGACGCAATTTTTTTTTTGAGTGATTTATTAACGCTGACTCACAGAACTGTTCGATGGAGATAAATACGTGTTCACGAATCCGGTTGTCATTGGACGGTGATGAGAACTGCCAGTCTGCCTGCCAGAACCGGTCGTCATCGGCCTCTTGGTAACGGACGGCTTCATGCTGTTCGTTACTCTACCAACTCTTTGATGAGTGTGTCGTATTCTTTTTCAGCAATCGCGAGGTTGTTATACAGCACACGTTTACTTTTACACAAAAACTTCAATCGTCAATTAACTCATCCACATTAAGAAAACGTCTGGGTCAATACCTATGGATTGCATTTCGTTCTGTTTGCCATCATTAGATCTTTGTGTAACAATGGCGGTTTGACCTCTGCCCACATCCATTGCCTGGGATACGGCCCAGCTTCGTTTGTGTACACACTGTTACTTCTTCTGGTTTTTTTTCTTCTTCCTTTTCTACTGTTACATGTTAACAGCTGCAACAACAGTGAACATATGTTTTCTTTTCTACAACAGATTTTCTACCTTCACATGCAATTTAGGTACTTTACAATTATTGAGCGCTACAGTAACAATGCAGCGGAATCCCTTAGGAACATGTGACCATAAAGCAACGTTCGTGATGTGACTGGGTCTCCCTCAAT